AATAGCCGGTCATATTCATTATTTAATTTTTTTTAGTTATATACATAAATTATACATTAATTATATATAATTATACATATATAATACATAAATTATATATTCACCGATTATTTTTAGTTTAAGTGGTTGGATGGATAACTATTTAGGTTAATTCTAATATAATAATTTATTATATAAACTTAAAAAGAGGTTTGGTTGAAACATTCATGGGCACTGCAATCTCACGTGTGATTATATTGTTATAACGGTGGCCAGCACGTCCACGTGTGAACTCGTAGAAATCATGACCTCTGTGCCACGAGGTTTGGGCCATTGGAATAATGGAAGAATATTCTCTTGATGTTAATTAACTCTTTGAAGAATTATTAACCTAAATAGCGGCTTAAACTAGAAATAGTTGACGGATGTATAATATATGTATAATTGTGTATATATTAATTTAATATATAATAGTTAGAAAAAATAAATAATAAATCTGTCCGATTATTTGTGTAAAGATCCACTACTCTTTACGGGTCTGGGTAGCAATCAGTAATTTTGACTTCGACTCGGTATTTGTATTAAAAAGTTTACTGAATAATATAAATAATTTATTCAAAACTAAGTAAGCCACTCCACTAAAATCTAGAACTCACACCTATTCAGACGAAAAAGGGGCCAAATACTTACTATTCCTTCTGAATTGTCACGATTATTTTCTTTGCATACCTTAAATTTTCATGTGTTCATTATCTAATTCTTTCAGATGTAATACTCTATCTCAGAGTTATTACTATTAATCAATTTGTTCCTATCTAACAAAACCTAATTGGATTTATCTAACAGGAGAAAGGTTTCTCATTCCTCGTCCAGAAAGATATTTTACGTCGCAATATGTAAATAAGTGAATCCGGTATCACTTTAAAATGTCACATAGTATTCGCATTTCAAGCATAAAAAGAAAGTGCGTGAAAGATTAAAAAAGGAGCCCGGGACCTCCTTTCACTCCAAATAAATGAAATATTAGAAAAATAGAGCCTCTAAAATCATATATTTACAAGATTACTTTATTAGACAAGTAGACAACTAGCAATTGTGAATTGCTGTTGTTACTAATCCAGTGTTTGGCACATTAGAATACCTCTGTGATTTCACCATTCTGTTGATTGTTTGATCTTTGATCAATCACAGTGCTACTATCTTTAAAGAATCTTAATCCTAGTATTGTATAACACTGAGTAAAAACCAGAGAAGCCCATATGTAAACCACATTTGCATAATTTGCAAGTGTAGAGCTTAAATTTAGCCAGTGTCTTCTGACTAAACGAGCGATTGAGATCAAAAGTACAATTCCACAAATAACACCTGAAATCAGTAATGGGCCTGAGAACAACTCGGGTCCTAATCCAGGATCCTGTTCCTTAGCTGATGAAGAAGAGCAATTTGAAGAAATAAGCATTTGTTCTTCTAATTGATTTATCTCTCCACTCTGTGAAACTTTAAGAACAGCTTCTGAGATATCAACTGCTAAGGGAGAACCCTTTGGAAAGACCTGATGATTTAAAATATGATAAGAAGTCATAAAGAAACTAGTTTAAGAATTTATTAGGTCAAATAAAGGGTCAAATTCACCTATGGCCACAGAACAGTAAAGTCACTAAACTATTTCTGTCACATTAAAAGAATTTAATTTTATCTACTGGAATATACTAATAATAAATCACTAAAAACTTTCTTTAATTTGTCGGATTAAAATAACTGAAAGTTATTTATTATATTAGTAAAGTCGCTAAATTTTACCCCACTATAAACCATTATAGTTATAGTAGTAAAGTTCAGTGACTTCGGTGTGATAATGAGTGATGTTCATTTACTCTAATGTGACAAATAACTTAGTGACTATACTGTTATAGTGATAAAATTCCGACTTTAATGTGAAATAGTTTTGTGCCTTCACTGTTATAGTGGATAAAGTCTGATGCACAGGCGTGACTAAAAATGGAGATAAGCAGATTGAAAAGCTAAAAAGGTGAAATGTTGAACTTACAAAACCAAATCCACCAAGTTTAAAGACAGATCCAGACTTGGTGTAACCTTTGCAGTATTTTGAAAGGAAAACTTTGGCATGTGGAGCTACAAAGAAAGCAGCAGAAATTTCTCCCTTTTCAAAAGCTTTAGGATAGTCACTGATTGAACTGATTTTCTTGATATTCTCAGGCTTCAAATGCAAAGAATTCACCAGATAACGAACAATAAATGAATTGCCATTGCAACCAACTGCAGCATTGGTCCTTATAAGATAATCAACATCTAGTATAGAAGGTTCCAGCCTAGGAACTGTCATTATAGAAGAAAGGACTGCTGTAAAGCAAGCTGTGACAACCACAACTACACATAACCATGTTGTTAGCACAAGTCGAGATAGGTTGCTTTTGATCAATTCTCCTGCAATGAGTCCCAAAATTGGAGTTTTAAGCCTTTGAATTTGACTAAAGTATTGATAATAACTACCTCTGAATCATACAAAATACTATAAATAAGTTTACTCTCTGTCATACTTTGGAACTATCGTATTTTTGTTGTTAACAAATCATCTTATACTCGTTGGTCCAAGTTTATCCTTCTGCTTTTGACTATGGTGTAAAATTACCTTCAGTTATACTTCAGGTTGGTGTTCCCTAAGGGTCAAGAAAGTTGCTAATGTCAAGAATATAAAATGCCCAAAGTACAATAAAAAGTAAAATTAAGAAATTTTATATAGTAGAGGAGTAGATTTTTGATCATTTTATCCGAAATATATAATGTTGTGTATTGAAGAATTAACCTAAATAGTCGTCCACCCAACTAAAATCACCGACATATATATAATATATGTATAATATGAGTATAACTATATATAATTAGTGTATAATTTATGTATATCGGCTAGAAAAAGTAAATAATGAATCTGACCGACTATTTATGTAAAGATCACGTAAACTTACTTTGGGAAAAAGAGAGAACAGTGACTGAAAACCAGAGCATGGATCCAATAAGCTGAGGAAAAGAACCACTGAAGTCAGGGTTGTTATTTACGTATTCATTTAACCAGATGACAACCCCTGTAGACATGCTCATCACTGCCAGCAGAATCCACAACTTCAACTTGAATGCCTTTATAACAGTAAAATGTGGTTTTTTGAGTATTGGTCTTTCAGTCACAATCATGACCAGTCCAGAGTCAATATAGGGTTGTGAAAATTCTGCATACTCATAGCGATCAGCCATTATTTCTGTATCACCTACTGCTGCATCCAGATTCTATTTCATGAACTGGTAAGTATTTGCAGATGTTAAAACACAGTATCACTAGCAACAATCAGACTTTACTGTTTAAAAAAGGGCGCACTAAGGGGTCTGGAGAAGGGCCGGACCACAAAGGTCTATTTTACGTAGCCTTATCCTGTATTTCTGCAAGATGCTGTTTTCACGGCTCGAACCTGTAACCTCTTGGTCACATGGCATACTTCACTGTTTGATGATGAAAAAATTTAAGGGTTCTATTATACGTTGGGTCCATTTATATCCCTTGCTATTAGCTAATAGTCTCAGTATCTATTCATGGCCTTGACATATCTCCCTGAAGTATTTATGGATGGTAATCTTAAACCATAATCAAAAGCATATGGTTAAAATTTCGACCTTTTTCCCTTGAAGTATGTTGACACGTGGAAACCTCCCAGCTTATGTCGGAGCTCCGTCAAAGTCAAGAATAAATATGAGACAATTTGCAAAAGGACAAAGGTATGATTGACACTAAAGTATAACATTAGGATATTTCATATTGTGGAGGGATAAATCTGGACCTTTTTCAAGATTTAAAAATTTGGACCAAAATTCATTGTGAAATGCTAAGCACTGAGCTAGCATTTGGACATAAATTTAGTTGAAACTTGAAAAAAGAGTTTTTGAAGTTGTATTGAAAAATAATTTTTGGAAGTTAAGTTATGTTTGGACATGTATTTTATTTGAAAAAAACTTGAAGTTTTGCGAGCAGAAGAAAAATTTCACCCAAAAACTGACTAAACCAGTTTTATGAAACTTGTTATTTTTTCAAAAACTGATCATGTTCCATGAACAAACAGTGTGTTTAACTTTTTTTTTGAAAAAATGTACTTGAAATCTATGGCCAAACATGTGCTAAAAGTTGAAGCTGTGGATAAGTTAAAGAGTCATATATATAACATACCTTGTTAGAAACTCCTACCACCATTTCATCATAAGTACCATAAAAGGGAACAAGCACATAGGGCAAATAGTAAGGAAGTTGCCTCACAACTGCTTCAAAAACATGAACTGAAAATCCACCAATTATAGTCTCATTCCTCTCTTGGTTAAAATCCACTGTCACAAACTGATTAAATGCACCCTTTGCAGGTACACCAATCTTGAGTGTTTTTTCTAGGCCTCCTATAGCCCACCCTTTTGGAACAGTTTGCTTACCACCTGGCCACAAAATTGACTCCAAATCCCCTCCTAAACCATTTCCAATTTTCAACTTCACCCCATTGTATTCAACAAGGTCATTAAAAAAACCAAACTCTGGTGACCAAAATGACACTTCTCTATAACTTTTGCCAAACACGTTAATGATCTTAAAGTTTGGCTTTTGGAATATTACACCATTCTTGAAACTAACTTTCCCACTTAAACCTTCAAAATCACTCAACAAAATGGTTTTCACTAGTTCACTTGAACTGCTTTTTACTTTTGTTAAATTTTTCATGGCCTTAGCAATTGCCCAAGTTGCATCATAAGCCTTAAGTGCATAAAAGCTAGGACTTGGGCTTCCTTCTTCTTCTTCAGGATATTCTGATCTGTACATTCTCCTGAATTTGGCATTAAACTGTCTAAAAGACTCACTTTTGTCGTTAACATTTGACTTAAATCCAATTACACCTTGCATATTCAGTAAAACAGAAGGTTCAACGGAGTCAAGAAAACTTGCCATATTGTCTGAAATAATCCATACATAATCTTTCCCCATCATTCCCATTTCTGTTGCCACCTCAAAAAGAACCAAACCAAAGTCTAAAGAAGACTGTATCACCACAAAAACTTTAACATTCTTGGTTTTTAACTTCTCCAGCTCTTTCTGAATGAATAACCTGGAATTTGAAACAGAGAATAAAGGAGGAAAAGCCAAGTGATATTCAACAGAGGAGTCAACAACTTTAAGTGAATCTGAGAGGTGAGTGATAAGTCCAGAATCCATATTGGAGAAGCTGTTACTAATTTCATATAAAGCTATCACTTTTCGCCACTTGAAATGGCCAATTAATGCAGCAATGCATTGCATTTGGGACTTAACATCGTCACTCATTTGGACAAGTGAAGGTGGTTCTTGCCGTAAAACTAGTTGAGGAGAATATGTGGCTGTTGGGCTTAAAGAAATAATGGGGATGCCTTTGTACGATTCATCAAATTCAGAAAATAGAACAGCTTCTTGTTGTGTCAATGGTCCAAGGATGGCATGCACTTGCTTCTTGTTGACAAGATATGTTGCTGCAAAATTTTAAGGTTAGTTCACCAAAGCTGCATTCAGGGGCGGATGCAGTGTCACTACTAAAAATCTGCTAAAAACCGACCAACTATTTCCGACCAACGTTGGTCGGTCAAAAAATGCGACCAAAAACCGTCCAGGTTGGACGCAAACTGGGAAAAAAAACATTTACATTTTTTTTAAACAAAATACCGACCAACGTTGGTCGGTAAATTGGTCAATAGCTGGTCAGACAAGAAAATTTTGGATTACCGACCAACGTTGGTCGGTAATTTGGATCCAATTTTTTAAATTTTAATAATTATTTTATTATTCTTAAATATTTTATAATATTTAAGAATTTATATTTAAAATTACCGACCAACGTTGGTCGGTTAAAGATTTTAATTTTTTTTT